GTGGCCCGCGCGGCCCCTGACAGCGCGTGCTATAGAGGGCCTCAACCTCTCCATTAACTTTCAGGTTTTTTAACGTCGCCTGAAAGCTTAGTGCTACTAACCAGCAGGCAGAAGCTCGGGGATGGCGCATGGCGCAGACCGGGTTGCTGCACTACCAAGGATTGTTCCGTTCCGTCGAGAATTCACCTTGAGCCCTAAGACTTGCTACACATGCAGATACACGTAACAATTTGTGCTCATACGCCTTTCGCTTGACGGCCATCTCCAAGTTGGAATTCGCCCCCATCCTTGAGATGCAGGTTTATTCTCGGTGACTGCACGGAGCCAGGCAGGCAGCAACAGACCGAGGAACTAGCCAGAGTACACGTCCGAAGTAGAGGCGGACAAGCTGAGTCCACTTTTGTGGTCCACTGGAATGAAGTTTCCTGTCCCTGGCTTCAAGCGGGAACAACCCCTTCAAGTATACGCAAGTCTTCGGGACAGAAGCGCCACATTGCCACTTAGTGAGGGAGCTCACTAGGTATGCAATGCATTAGCTTGTCGGATAATTTGCAAACTGTCGCTCAAAAGTGCATATGTCAACGACAGGAGTACAACTAATCACTAGGTTCTCTCAACACAGATGAGCTTACCCCCGGGTAGGACTTTTCTAGCAAGCTTCTAGCCATCGCCGCAGGACCGGTGGAGGAACCATGGTTTGTGCCGAGCTCTATACTAGTACCGGCATGACTACAACAGTTAATGACAACTCTCATTCAAGCAATGTGCAAGCAAACGCAATCTGGACCGTGTAGCCAAAGACCTTTTTCAGGAGTTGTCAAAGCACTGTGAAATACAAAGTATTCGTAGATTCCATGCACAATCTAGCTGGCCATTCCCGAAGTCAGTCCATGACTTGGAAAGCTACACTATTATTTACACATTTTCGCAAAAGGCGCCTACAATCGCTGGGCTGAACAATGAAGGCTCACCTGGGGGCAAACGACGGATGTGCGCAAGGGTGCAGGAACACCTCTTATCAATTGCGGCCATTTATTCTAGGGCTCCTATGAAGGTGCCCACTTTTGCATCATTCACCAAGACCACTGCTGCCTCAGCAGGTACGCAGCACTAGGGTTGTTGGAGCCGAATGCTCTAGCAGTGTCTGATGCAGGTTTTGGAGAAGTTCGCCGTTGGCGGCTATCCAAATCCACCAGCTGATGAATTAGGGACAGTTGGGGCATATCTACGCGCGTTAACGAACACTACCTTTGGTTCAAAAATCTGGTCTTGCGGTTGAATGGCTTAGAAAGAAAATCCTCGTTGATTAAACGACCGGAAGATGCCACTCGATAATTCAACAAAGGATACGGAACCTGTGACCTATCTTGTTAGTTCTCAGCAAGTGTTTCGAGTAGTGAAGCAGAAGACTTCTGTTTACGCATTAGCATTTAGAACTGGCACCGCTCAGTCAGAGCAGCGGAAAACGTATCAAAGCCAGTAAATGCACTAGGTAGCATGCCACCCACATAGCTGCACTATAGGAAGTCACAACAAAAAGGAAGCGCTGCCCTTCTCCCCGCTGTTGCAGAGACTATTGGGAATGGGATGCAATGCTTATGCTGGCACACAAAGCAGTCGAAATGACGAAACGCACACACTTCCTTCATCCACTCAAGAAACCAAAAACAACGTCGCTCATCCATTCTAAACATGAAATGCATTTTATTAGGATCGATGCATTACGAACACGCGCATTCCTGGCATACACCAGTGGTCACACTGAGAGGCGCGAACAATGACGGGCTGCCGGATACCTCAAAGCAGCTATTTGCAAACGATGAGCAATTCCAAAACACAAAAAAAAATCACAACCCCCTCTGTCAAAAATACAGTTGGTAAACACCGCATTAGCTTATGATAGGCCTGGCGGCTCTGTGGGGCCGATGCATGCGGAGATGGGGCCCTTATTCTCCAGATTCATAACATTAGAAGAAAACCTAAAATAAGCTAAGGTATCAACACGTCACGTACTGTAAGAGTGCCTCCACCAATCAACAGGGTTTTCAACACTCGCTTGACAACAAAATCAATGCTCCGCTCACATCCGTGGCACATCTGTTTAGGGACCAAAGCAGTCATAGTCTGTGGCACAACGGGTATGTTGCTAGACACAACCATATGAAGGCTTTGAGAAACTAATCATTTGAGGATGGCTCCTCCAAAGGGCAACGTCAACAAGGCGCAACAGAAAGCTGCCCGACGCGAACTGCAACAGAAAAAGGCCGCTGCGAAAGAACAGAAAAAGAAGCACAAACGGGGTGAAGTGGATTGTGATGAGACTCCAATTGATGTTCTACTGCAACAGCTAGAAGAAGAACATCGCCAAAGGCAGATAAGCAAGACGCAGGCTACACCTTGCAACCAGCCTTCCCCTAGGGCACATGCGACCCTAACCGTGCTTCCGAGGTATGTGAGCACCCCGCACGCTGGGCACGTTGTTGTTCTATGAAATTCAAAGGTGTCTGGATGGGTAGTATGTATGTATAATCCAAAGTGCGCATTGCTGCTCAGTGGCGATTTCTTGCTGTTCGGAGGGGAAAGTTATGATGGCAAGAGAGTCCGTGTATATGGGGACCTTTTCAAGTGGGATATGGACAAGGGGGAATGGCGTCGCCTTGAGGCTCCAGAAATGCCAAAAGCTCGATGTTCTCACCAAGCAGTATACCACAAGTGAGCCTGACGACAACTGTTGACTCAGTCGCCGAAACAGCCATCCGTGGGGCGCTACTGGCTTAAAGATAGGCAATTAACCTAAAACACGTTTCTGTTTGAGAGCCATATTTTGAGCTAAATGCCTGATTTCTTATATGCAGACGGCTACGTAGGTATCCAGAGGTCAATAGCATGCAAGGCGTACTGTGCTCTGTGCAGCGATGCGCTCTACATATTTGGAGGCGAATTTTCAACATATTATCAATTCCACCATTTTAAAGACTTTTGGAGGTTTGATTTGAAGTCGAATTTGTGGAGTAAAATTCTTGTGGAGTGCCCTGCTCAAGTGCCCTCTCCTCGGAGCGGACACCGAATGGTATGTCTTGACCCTCACTAAAACCTCGACTATAGAGGGAACCATGTTCCAATTTTCATACCTCAAAGAGTGACGCAGGCATGAATATTTGCATGATCTCTGTACCCTACGTGATTCTCCGGGCTCTGCGGAGCGCCGCAGAGGGGACCCCGGGCAGTACATTGACGAAGCCTTCCCAGCCATCCAAGAAAATTTAAAGATTCTTAGTTTGCGAAGATATGTGCTTGCTTTGTAGGGTTCTGCACGGTTTAGGAGGAATTTAGCTGTTGAATTACACGCTTGTTGATGTTCGTCTTTGTTCGTTGGTATAGGCTGTATGGCGCGGTTTGCTGATCCTGTTTGGCGGATTCCACGATACAGGAAGAGATACACGATACTACAACGACTTATATGTGTTCATTTTCAGCGAGAACAAGTTAGTTCGGTGTTGACCTGTTACTCCACTGTTCTCGCCGGCCATTGCTGGCCTCACTGCCAAACAGGTTCACCCGGTACGAGGTGCTGGATGTGTTTCGAGCTCGTTACGGTGGCTTCATATTGGCTCACATTGTGTATGGCATTTTGCGTGCAGATGGAGGAAAATCGAATTTCCACCTCATACGCACATTCCAGAGGCTCGGGGGGGATGTGTCTTTGTCGTCGTGGGGGACGTGATACTGCTCCATGGCGGCTTTGCGAAGATAAGGGATACGAATAAACGTGTTCAGGGCAAGATATTCACTGTGGGCATTGAACACGCATTTCCAGCCGCTTGTTTGCCTTAGTTGCAACTTGATGTGGAACACAAATTAGTTTGTAGTGGAGTATGACGCCTTATGGCGAGGAGGCGGTCCACTCTTTAGACGGAGGAAATACGGCGTACAGCTTCCTATAGCCTTCTATGGAGCTTCTATGGAGCTGCGGGTCATGAAACTGCTCAGGACTCATGGCTTTTGGACTTGAAACCGTTGTCCAAAGGAGCATTTACGCAGATCCCTACCTGGGAAAAAATAAAAAACAGCGGTACTCCGCCGTCACCAAGAACAGGTGGGTCAAAAGGCACTCTTGCAGCTTACCTGAGATGTCTTCTGTCGACTATTACTGTGCCTACGACTTTAAGTGATTGAGGAACTACTTACATGTGCAGTTGCAACTATTAGCATGCTATTTTATTTGGGTATTCTGCAGCCAACGTTGTAGGGCAGCAAGCAAGGCTAGTGCAAATACTTCTGGATTTTGTGTAGGAATGTGCGCAACTGCGTACAAATCTACCGTTGTTGTATTTGGTGGAGTCGCTGACCAGGATGATGGAGGCGCGAATATGTCGTCCGTTTTCTTCAATGACTTGTATTCATTTGACGCCACGAAGAGGCAGGTCCAAATCCCATAGCATTCGTTATCTTGAGCGCGCCTCTTTAAATCTCCTAGTTCTGCTTGGAATCAGTTGCCGCCTTGGATTCTGTTGCACTTAGCTTCAAGAGTGTTCCTGCGTGGAGCCATCTTTTGCAGGCGTTGGTATCGCCTTGAGCTGAAGACCGGGAAGAAGGGGGGCTCAAAGAAACGTGTTCCCAGGCAGACTGGACAGGACGTCGGTGAGTCAAACTTCAGGGTCCACAAGGTAGCACTGGCTCAGTTAAATGTAGACACTGTATTCATGAAGAAGCTTGATGCAAAAAGCATGAGGAAGCATGTGCCGTAGGCTTTGCTCCTCTTTGCGAGGATCAACGGGCCTGTGATAGTGAAACGGATGGAGGGTCTTCTGACGATGAAGAGAATTGGCAAGTGAGCCTAAAGAAATTCACCGTGGCAGATGCGTGATAATTCTTCTTCAATGGGCCCCTTCTGATGGGGATCTGGTGTTTTCTGCGTGAACTGTGCCATCCCGAACTCTACCTTGGTTGTAGGATGACCGTGAAGGGCCTCCCGGTGAAGTCCTGTGGCTGTGTTTGGAATGGGGTTAATGACTCAGAAAACATTTGCCTACTTCGACACCAAAGGCCGGCTAGTGAAGCTGCGTCTGGAGGATCTTCCAGAAGCGAATCGCACCGCCCTAACGCTCCCAGATGCACCCCTTGAACAGGACTCACCAGACCGCCAGCAAAATGTCGATGGGGGTCTCTCTAGGTGCGGCGGCGAGAGCAGCACAGACACAAGCACAGCTGCGTGCGATGTCCCTGAGGAGTTTGCGCCTGGCTGTGTAGTGGAACCCACCAAGCCCATCCTGCCCAGGGACCCCACTGAAGGGGAGTCGCAGAAGCCAGACAACAAGGTTGCTGATGGAGCGCAAACTCTGGTTTCAGCTGGGCCATTTGCCGGGCCACAGGCCCCTTCAGTGTTTTCTGCTGATGTACCACTCCCACGACTTCATGGAATGATTTGCATGCGAGGTTCCACTCTGATTCTAATGGGGGGCCTAATGGAGCTGGGGAGTAAGGAAATTACTTTGGATGACTGCTGGAGCCTTAACCTGAATAAGAGGTGGGCACGTTTGCATTTAGGTGTGAGGGAGTACCTGTTTGAAGGAGGGCACTGCACAGCTAGCTTAGCGCCACTGTCTGTGTTGGCGCATCTTGAGCGAAATAGCAGTTACAGCACAGAACTGGTGTGTGTTTCGGGAGCGTATGCCGCGGTCAATTGTTTCATTTTTTGCCTGCAGAGACCGGTGGGTACGTGTCCTGGAGGGCACTATGCATGAACAAGAATGGCAAGGAGCAGAGAGCGAAGCTGAAGGCAGCGACGAAAGCGACAGTGAGGATGACAGCGAATCCAGTGAATCGGGAAGCTCTGAAAGTGGTGGGCTCGACGAAGAAATATCAAGTTCGGATGAAGGTACGCCATTGGCACAACCTGGAAGGCCTTTGGGGGGACCTGGAAGGCCTTAGTGTGACAACTGGGTTGCGCATATTTGACCTGCTTAAGCTGCGTGTTCTCCAGAAGGATCGAAACGAATAACCAACAAAGAACGGAAACGGTGTCGTGTTAGGGAGGAAATGCAGCAACTGCGGGTACGTAAACTGCCGTGTGAATTTAGTGGTGCAGCATTTGTTTGCACAAGTCCGGTGAAGCGGTACGTACAACTACACAAATATGTAGAATTTAGCTTCATGACATACACTTACTGTAGGTCGTCCAAAAGGTGCTCTTCTCGGGCCGTCAGTGGAATAACAACCCATTGGGTGCTTTGCCACAGGAACGATTCGGCCTTGACAACCCCATGGAGACCCCTGCAGAGGGCGAGTCCCTGCGTGACTTTTTCGAGAGGACAAGAGAATATTGGGTTGGAAAAGCATGTGCTGCAGGTAAGGAATGGCCATGTGGATCGACGAAAGCCCCGGCGAAAGCCCGCGCCAGATACTGTCTTCTATGCCGCTCATATGCGGCGCGGCCTTCCGCCGATCCACACGTCAGCGTCGCCGACTGTGTAACTGTTACACAGTCGGTGACGCTGACGTACGTGTAGCGGGTAGATGCTCTTGGGAGGCCTCGCGTCTGCATGCTGAGCCGCACTTGTGTGCCTTTGGGCGAGTGACAGTCTTGCTTATTTGTGGCTGTGCGCGTATGAGGAGTTACAGGATGCTGCGCGAAGACCAATAAGGAAATGACGCGAGAAGCATTTGAGGCAGCTTCCGCTCGCGTATCCGCCATCCGAGATGCACTGCGCCGAATTGATGAATTACAGCGTTTAGATGGCCGTCAGTCGGAGGAGGACGACTCCCGTTTAAATGGCAACAGAACGGAACCCTCATCTAGGCATCGTTAGCATCTTTGCGGATCATCTGGCACGTCAAGTGGTAGACGTGGAAGGATACCTTCGCGGCGTGTTACTGAGTGGCATACGCCAGATTAGCAGAGAGGAGAGGACCGGCTCATCACCGCAATGGGCCGTGACTTGATCATCCCCTGGGAGGCTTCTAATCACGGTTGTGCTCGAGCTTGCGTCAGGGCTACGGTTTTAAACGCCTTTTGTTTGACTGCTTTATCCGCCTACAGACAGTACTGTACTGCCACCAAGCACTTGATACCAAATAGAACCCAGCCTCTGTCGCCATGGTTTGCCATCATATGGGTAGATTTCGGTGAGGAAAGCCTTACATCTAGACCACTTGGTGGAGGATTCTCCCCCAAACAGATAAATAATGGCAGTTTACATCCGGTCTCTGAGTCTGCGCCTTTTGGTACGTATGGCATTCTGGAGAGCGTTTGTCTTCATAATTAGATTAGATCTAGCCATCACGTGGATCCCCCCGTCGGGCGCGTTTGTGGCCGGCCACCTATGGACAGGGGCTGGGGCACTGCCAACCCCAGTCTTAAGAGGCGCCTTGCCTTATACGTATCAAACCCTACGTTGCAATCAATGCTTGACCGAATAGCTGTTGGTATGCATTCACAGCCCCATGCAACGCTCAATCTTGCGACGCCGTCTGCGGATATCACAGAACCCGGCGGAAGTATGCATGCCCGTAAGCAAGCATGCACGCAGAGTAAGCTTACGGGCATGCACGTTACTATGCACAGAAAATATAATACCCTGCGACAACAGAAATGCCTCGCTTACTGGTTGCGACGTGAATGGTTGCCTATGGAAGCCTTGTTGGTTTCCTTGCGGCGAGCCGCCAGGGTACCGCCCCTGACTGTCATCCGACCTGAGGAAACTCACGTTTCTATGCTGATGCAGAGTTAGCACAGCGCGATTTAGGTTATGGAGCACTCCCAGCAGCATATTCTCCAGTATGTAACACAGCCAAACCTCTCCAACCCTAGGGACTGGAAATAGTGCTCCCTACCGCAGCCAAGTGAATGTCCAGGGCCCTTGTCCTCCTGCTCAGTTTCGTTGGATGACGAACTCTCCTCTGCCTCGGCTGCATTCCTCAACATTGCAGTAACAACAACATGCAGTGTCCTCACAAGAGAGTGTCAACTGCCACTGCTAGCATCCGGGTTTACGCGGTTCTGGTTCGGCTTGTTGTCACTTGGGGACTAGTTGATGTTTTAACCACAGGCCGCAGGGCCTTCAAGCTGCACCCACATTCTGCAGGATTCCACCGACTGGCTTCAGCCTCTGCTAGAAGCTCTTCGTCAGCATCATCATCGTATAGGGAACTGTTAGTGTCTTCGCTCCCTTCCAAAGCCTCAACAGCCGCCAGCTCGCTGCATACGCAAATGTTGTTTAACCGTCATTAACAGACGTTGCAGGTTTGGCTGTTGCTTGCAGGGTTAACGTGAAATCACGCCTTTCCTTGTCACCGCCATAACTGGAATTGTATAGGCACATTGTGGAAACCCAAGCTGCAAAAGTGCCAACAGAAGGGGAGGGTACAAGGGTACCTCTCGTGTTGTCGTAGCTTACGCAAGAGCAAGAACTTGGCGCTTTATGTCGGCGCTCTGCGCTATCTTACTTAGCGGTGGAGTTGTACCCTGCTTCTCTTGTTCTATGAAGTCCTCAGCATCTGAAATTTCAACATACACTGAAGTGGCCGTGTGCTGTGTGTCATGAGAGGAACCAACCTATGGAAGCTGGCACTTTAACGCTCTATGAGGCGCCGAGCGTATTCGCAGAAAAGTGGTTCGCTGAGACACTTCATTATATATATATATATATATATATATA